GCGCGTGTGCCGGGGAGGGGAGGGAGGACCCCTCCCTTACCAATCAATCGATTAATCAATCAATCAATCAATCAATCAATCAATCAACCAATCAATGAACCAATCAATCAATGAACCAATCAATCAATCAATCAATCAATCAATCAACCATCCAATCAATCAATCAATCAATTTTTTTTTTTAATTAATTTTGGGACTCAACAAAAACCACCCCCCCCAAAAAAATATTTTTTTATATTTTTTACGGCGTAGTCCTATAGAGGAGGACGCGCGCAGGCCGAGGCCGCGCGCCGATTTCCTGTCGCGTCCTTGCCTAAGCCTGGCGCGACTGCGAAAAAAATCGGCCGTGCAGCTTCGACCACGAGCTAGCGGCCGGCCTCCTCGGCCGCCGCCGAGGCCGTTGGATCCGTGGCCCGGCGTGTCACGTAGCATGTCGGGAAAGGAGAAAGGATCGGAGACTTACTTCAACATTCTGTCGGAGTCAATCAAGGAGGTCGGTGAGAAAGTTGTAGTCGTACTAGTCGGTGTAATCATGGATAATGCGGCTGTGTGTGCAAGAGCAGGCAAGCTGGTGGAGGACACATTTCCCACTATCTTTCATGTAGCATGCGCAGCGCATTACCTGGACCTCATGCTACACGACATTGGGCGGACAGATTGGGTGAAGGAGGTTGTGGGAAAGGGCAATGACTTGGTGAAGTTCTTCATGAACCACCAACGTGTACGTGATATCTCCTACGTACACTTTAGAGAGAGGCAACTGTTGCGACGTGCTGCAACACGGTTTGCTACAAATTTTCATATGCTCGACCACCTAAAAAAGCAACGCAATGGACTGGTTGCCACAGTCAGTTATGATGCTCGCTGGAAGCCGGCCATGGTACGTCATGCACAACGCGACACATTCTACGAGATGGAGGAGATCGTCCTTGATGGAGCGGGCTTTTGGGAGGGCGTCAACAAAGCCATATCCGTTGTTTATGACATTCAATTTGTTCTGCTGCTGAAGGTGGTGGATGGCACTGGACCCACTGTCAGCAAAGTGTATGCAAAGATGTATAAGGTGATGGAAGGATTGCAGGCCAATTCAAAATTGAAAAACGATGAGCGGGAGGACATCGAGGAAATGGTCATGCGCCGGTGGAATGCTATGACCACACCGTTGCATTGTGCAGCATTATTATTGGATCCGGAGTACCGCTCGTACAAACCACAAAACGACCCGGAGATCCAAGACGGGTTCTACACGTGGTTATATACGTAGTTGAGGGGACGCTCGCAGGAAGTGATAGACTAGGTGGAATATGAGGTGGATTGTTGGGTGCAGAACATTGGAAGGTTTTCCACGAAGAAGGCGATGGAAGAGGCGCGGAAGCAGAACCCTGCACCATGGTGGCTTCGGTGGTGTACCGAGTTACGGTACTTGCAGCCACATACCATTTGCCCCCTTGGCCAGGGAACATCTGCCTCGGGTTGTGAGAGAATTTGGAGTCTCTTCGAGGCGATCCACACGCTCCCACGTAACGGCTTGGCCCCCGAAACAATGCAGAAA